ATTAGTTACACCAAAATCAAATCTAGCTCGCCTTAAAGTCTAGCTGGCTATAAATTCATTCCTCAGTTTAGACACATTTTTATCTCTTAATTTAGGCAGTTGGGTCTCTAAGTTTAGATTTCCTTAGCTGTGGTAGTGAAGCCTAGCCCTCAAACCTTATTATATGCCTCTAGCCTATTGCAGCCAAAGCAACACTACTTTCCTCTAGTACCGTGCTTGAAGCGCACCTATTTGGAAAGAAAATGGTTTGACCTCCGAAAAATATTAGCGTCAGTGCTAACACCAGTACTACCACACTTCTTATTCAGATTGTGGGGATCAAAGCCCAGTGCCGACTTGAATCAGCGTCATTTTCAAAACAAATGCAGCCAAAAATAATACCAGAAATGCTACCAATCAGCTGCACACCTGCTCAGTAGCATTAGATATATCAGTAGCAGTGCCGGCCTTGGTTTCCAGGACTCTGGTTTGACAGCTACTGAAGGTGGGTTTCTACTCGGAATACCTCAAACCCCCATTCACACTATGTGCTGGGATCAACGGGATACAGGCAGAGGTTCTGAACAGTCCACGGTATAGATAAATAATGAAGTGGTCCGTTGTTGGGCTATAGACGGCAAATTTCATGACATTACTGCGTGGTAGCACTGGTACATTACTTTACAAATGCCCTATTATTATCCAAATGCCAATCACTATTACCTCACACAGATTGGGAGTGCATATTGGGTGCGACTTCTTAAAAAACACACACAGGAAATACTTATAGTATAATATCTACTAGCCTTAGCAAGCATAAGTAATAGAAACTTGCACTCTTAGTATAGGCACGTACCTATAGCAGCAGTATCTTAGTATTTTAGACGACACAGCCTGCTCGATAGAGTTGACAGGGCGGAAACTAAGCGAAGCCGTGATGTGATAAGGCGGAAGCATGTGCTTACAAGAAATAACTTTAACCCGGAGTCACATTCCATGTTGAGAGAAGAGGTATGAACCCGAAAGCTTATTTTAAACCAGCGTCACTTCTGACAAATTTTAGCGTCAGAAATAGTACTGATACGAAGACTCGGCTATACCGATAGCCAGTAGTAGTAGAAACGGTAGTAGCCATATCAGTCTCGGACTCCTTGGGCCTGTGTTCACACCTACTATGGGT